TCTCCTCTCCTCTCCTCTCCTCTCCTCTCCTCTCCTCTCCTCTCCTCCCCTCCCCTCCCCTCCCTTAAAAACACATTGAAGTGTGCTTGTAGTTCTTACTGTAACCGTGTTTATGTGTGAGTTTCCAAGGGAGTGTCTTATCTGAAATGTTTTCTAAACATATGACTCAGCCTTGAACTGACCTGCTTCTTCTTCTGTTAAATATACACATTTCACAGAACATGTAAATTAGGGACTCTTGGTTGCTGGGTTTTAGGAAGCTCCAGTACACAGATACTGAAATTCAGAAGATGCGTGGGTCTGTTTATGGCTGAACAGCTGTCCACAAGGCCAGGCATGCTCAGACTGCAGGCTGCCCATGAGCTTCTTGAGAGGAGTGGGGAAGGCAGCTGAACCTGCAAAGGTCTGATGGGAACTAAGAAAGAAGACCTGGCATTGTGTATAAGTTGGGAAGAGTCTGCTTGGGTTTAAAAAGTCTACTTATACTCAGAGGCATTTGCCCATATGAGGTATACACGGGCATTTTGCTAGACATTTGAGCAACTTCCTGGGCCTACCTCCAGAGGCTGCAAGCTGCAAGAGCATGAGGCCAGGTCTGCAGACATGAGGTCCTTCTTGTGAGGAACGTGGCGGTTACAGAGTCATGGGTCAAAGCTGCTGGCTCAGCCCTCCTTCTTCCCACAGTCCTGCACCTGCCAGCGCCTACCCGTGGGTGACTGGGGGCTGGCTTGTACACACTGGCTTCACTATTGTTATTATTGATTACTATGCCATAGAGAAAGAGAGACTGAAGTATGCCTGTGGATCTGGCCATCTGTGCCATCAAGAATCCAGAGTGGGCAATTCTGCTCAGTCCTCTGAGTCTTTCTGTCCACGTTCCCGCGGCCCTTCCTCTCAGACGCAGGCTTGGACACAAGGTGTTATGCAGTATAGTGTTTCATACACAGGCTTCCCCTGAGCAGGGACGTTTTGGTCATTCAAATATTCTGTCTCTGCTTCTGCTTGTCCTTCTCTCTGTGTGTATGTGCGTGAGCAATAGATGAAGACAAACGACGACAGTGCTGGTAAGGCCCGTCTTCTTAGTGGCAAGGACAGCAGGGCGCTCCGCCGCTCTACCAGCAGCGAGGGCAAATGGCTGGCACGCAGATGTTGGTCCATTCTGTTTCCCTTCAGCTCTAGGTACCTTAAGCTTTAGAAATGGGGATAATTTCAACAATTCCACTTTTATTGACAACGTATTTTAACTTGCCTTAAAACGACAAAAACAACAACAACAACAAAACAGAACTGTAAAGAAATATTCAAAACCCAAAAGATCCTGAAGAATGCGGAGTTTGGAGACGAGGGTTATTACTCCTGCGTGTTTTCTGTCCACCACAATGGGAAGCAGTACAACATCACCAAGACCGTCAACATCACAGTTATTAAAGGTGAGAGGAAGCGTTTGAAGGAAGCAAACTTGGGACTCTTTTAACTGGGAAGCCTCCTGGGGGAGGAGGGACGGGTACCTCCTTGTATTTGAGAAGGCACTGCTTCAAGGTTTCGAAGCTTCGACTTGGCTTCCCATAAAACTGGCTAAAAACACAGTTTTCTTAGCAGCAAATGAAACTTTCCATGGGTGAACCTCTCATGAACCAGCTTGTTCCTGTTTGGAATTTGGGTAAACTCCAGAAGCTTGTTAAGCTTCCATTTTCACGTAACAAATATTTGCTGTGGTCACAAATATTTATGGTGACTGTGTTCAGTAAGCTGTGCTCAGGATTGGGACACAAAGAGGCACTAAAGAGAAACGTACACTGCACTCAGGGAATTTTATCCTGCTCTGGAGGGACTCTGGGCACCAAGGCTGTAGCAGTGTGAAACGGGTTGCCAGGGCGTTTGCTTGAAAGGAAGACACGCACTGAAGACTGTGCCCGATCTGGATCTTGGAGGGACTGTACTGTGAAGGGGCAGAGCACACAGGGAGAAAGGCGGGCACAGTGACCGAGCTAGGGCACGGTCTGTTAGTCAGAAGGAGGGCTTTGCAGGTCACCTGATTTGCCATGAGTGCAGAGGACAAAGACATGGGACTCTATGGTGACGGTGCCCTGAGAGGTGATTTAACTGCAGAGCCCTGCAGAGATACATTTCAGGTTACAGCCAAGAACCCGCCATCCAGCACCTCCCGGGAACTCACGGGAAACTGTCAAAGCACAGCACAGCTGAGTACAGATTTCGACATCTGAGTGTGGAACATTCTTGATATTTTTCCCAGCATCCATTTTTCCTTCTTCAGCTGCTTTTCCTCTGCTTTCAAAAACTTCGCAGACTGTCGGCTCCCTTCCTGTGTGAAAGTTCCTCTGGTTGTTTACAATCATGTGGTATGACCATGACCATAGTCTGACCATCCGGTAAGCTAGAAACCTGTGTGGATGACACATTTAACCAAATCCACAGCCCACATCAGTTCTAGTGACATCTTTCCTCAGCCCCGCACCTTAGGCTTACATAACTGCCCGTGTGTGCGGTTGCAGAGACGTGTCCTCAGCGATGTACGCACCTCAGCCTAGAGTCCTGGAGGTCACGTGTCTGAATAAGTTCACTAGGCCAAAGCCGAGGTTTCAGCAGCATTGTATGGTTTCAGAGATTATGGAGAAAAAGATATGCCATTTGCCAGTGTCCAGAGGCTATCTCTATCACACTGTCTTCAAAGTAGAGCACGCTATATGCCAGTCTTTTCTTTTTTCCTTCTTCTCCTTTTCTCTTCCCTCCTCTACTTCCTTGCCCACCTCCTGACACACATATACACTTCCATCATTGTATATAATATGCATAAATGCATATATGCATCTTCCTGGGTCTGGCCTTTCTGACTTTCTTATGAGGACTCACAGCCCACTTGGATGATTCAAGATAGCATCTCTTTCTCCAAGTGCTTGAGCAATCACACATACCATTTTTTTTTTTTTTGTCCATCTTCTTCTGCTAGAACTGAGTGCCATGGACTGAGCCAATTATAAACCAGAGAAGTTTATTTGGCTATCAGTTCTGGGACATCCTAGACCAAGGGACCACCTGTGAATGTGTCTACAATGGGCTGTGCGGCTCAGGACATTGGATGTCCTTCTCTGTCACTCTGCCCACGGCTGAGAGACAGGTCTCTCACTAAACCGGAACTGATTCAAATGGCTAGACTAGCTGGCCAGGGAGCTTCCAAGATCTGCCTGTCTCTTCCGCCGAGTGCTGGGGTTACAGGCCCATGCAGTCAGGCTTAGGTTGTTACATGGGTTTGGGGGATTCAAACTCAGGTCCTGTCCTAGTACATCAACCATTCCAGCCCCCTGAGCCGCCTCCTCATCCAGGGCATGGCTAGGGATGCTGGTTAGGGATGGAGACTCCGCATCCTCCTCAAGGACATGGTCAGAGATGGAGACTCCACACCCTCAAGGGTAGGACTGGTGTCTAGGAGAGGTGATTTACATGGCTCTCCTAGTCTTCATGTATTCTGTTAAATCCATCAGTGGGAAAATGAAGAGGGCAGATGGAGAAGGGGTGTGATGTAGCCTGGGAAGGTGCTTCCCCAGGGCTGCCCATCATCTCCGTCTAGACATTTGGTCCTCTCAGGGTGTGGCAGTAGTCTCCCTGGATGAGATAGTTCTCCAACTTCAGGTTTATGAGGCAGAAGCCAATATTTGAGAGGATACTAGATGGATGAAGCTTTTAGCTCTGTGAACACACTACTAACAGAAACGAAGCTTCGATAACGTGAGCTGGATTAATAAAAAGTTAATAAAATCACGACAGAAGTAAAGATATGCAAGGATCGCAGTTATCCACAGACAAAAGCAAGACCTAGTTGGTGCCTGACGCCAGGGGAGGAGCCACGTGGGACAATGCTGTGTTTCTGTGTATGCTTGTGCCCGTGGTGAAATTTAGTTTATGAATTAGGCACAACAGATTAATATCAATAATTAATAATAAAATAAAACAATATGCCCAAACAAAATTGTCTGTCACGACTTTTGTGCTCTGTGGCCCTGATTAAATAGAATGGGGGTTATTTGCATATAAGCACCATGATACCATCCTATTTAATCAGGGCTGTAAGTACACTGAGCAAGAGAATAATTCAGGTTCTGGTTTGGATGGAATGGGAAACTTAGAAAGGCATCCAACTTAAAAATTACAAGTTAATTATTTAAGTTTTTTTCACTTTTATGTTTTTGGACCACACTTGGCTTACACTAATTTAAACTGCAGAACCTATAATCATGGATAATCCAGAGGTACTATGTTGGAAACTTTTGTTATACAGAATGACCATGTTACAACATTATGTGTGTCCAAGATAAGCTCAAGGCAGTTTTAATGTTCTTCTTGTTTGTTTTGCTGTTCTTCTAGGAAACAATAAAATAATCCCAGCTATTCTGGGGCCGAAGTTGGACATTGTTGGAGCAGAGCTAGGTATGTTTTACAGTGTGTGTTTTCTAAATGTATAAATGGGGCCAGTATTGAGCTTTCAAAGACTAAATGTGGGTCGCTGCTGATTGATACAACTCATCTATTTGTTGAAGAATACAAGACCATGGAAAGCAAGCTGTTTTCTGACAGTTGCACTTTGAGGCCAGTTCAATGGCACTTCTGTTCAAAAGTCGGTGCGACTGTCTATGTATTGTAGACAGATACATTTTTTTTCTTCCAATTTTCTCTATTGACCTTTCAAAACATGAAAGTTTGGTGATAACGCTTTGGAGATTTGATGCAAACTGACCCTGTAGTCTGAATATCTGGCCATGGATGGAATTGCTGTACTTTCTGGGCTCGTCTAGAGCTGCACTTCTCAACCTTCCTGAAGCTGTGACCCTTTAATGCAGGCCCTCATGCTGTGGTGACCCCAACCATAAAAGTGCTTCATTGCTGCTTCATAACTGGAATTTACTACTGTTATGAATCAAACGTGGATATCTGATATGCAGGGCACCTGACATGTGACCCCTGTGAAAGGGTCATTCAACCCCCAAAGGAGTCGCAGCCCACAGGTTGAGAGTTGCAGATCTTAAGAACCAGGGTGCATAATTTAAAAAATAAAAGCTCAGAAGGAATGGAATAAATTTACATATGTTAAACCAGATATTAAACTAACTGATTTGAGAATTTTGAGATACATTTTCCCAACCAAGGTAGAGGGATAGTGTCTCCACGGCACGGACTGAATAACTGACACTCAGGCCGAGCAAGTCTAATTATTTCAGGCTGCTCGGAACCGGGCAAACAGAGGTGCTACACCCAATCTGCCTTGCATTTAAATAGCTGGTTGGAGAGCATACCTCAGGCATGCTGGTTGCAGACCTTTGCCGCTGGGACACAGCTTCTTAAAGTGCGAGTTGAGACGACATGAGCATTGCATAAAATGGATGTGGGGGCCATGAAAAAAATGGCAAAAGTAGAGGCTTTCTGGATACACAATGACAGAAAATCCAAATCAAAAACACAAAGAAGCTTTCAAAGAAACAAAGACGCTTCCAGGAGCAATCACTAGAATTGTCTTGTATGACGTCACTGCATCCTCAGTTCTGTACACACACGTGTGCTCTGCCCAGGGCACCCCTGCTTCCCGTGTTCAAGACTTGTGTATGTGTTAGGAGGTTCGGTCTATTTTACTGTGCATATAAAAGTTTCTGGTCTTATAGAAGCATAACTTACTGAAAACAAAAAGCCTTTAGTGCTTCCCTCCTGCCATTCCTTGGCTTGTTTCAAGTGAGGGAACCCTTGGGCTGTATTGTGTTAGAGTGTTTCATTTTGAAACTGACTGTGTGAGTTGCAGACTTGAATTTTATAAAAAAATATATTGGAGGAATTTTGGGTTGGGATTAGGATAGAATTTCTGAAATGACCCTAAGTATATTTCTGCCATTTTGTGTTATATATTTATGTAAAGTGGCCTCAGCTTTGATGATTATAAAATCAAAATTTTGAACATTTCTAAATAACAGTGAAGATGTTCCATGTCATGAATTACCAAACCATTCAGCCAATATTTAATTCTCTACATACAAACAAGCACACCATCTCATTAGCATGCAAGTTTGTTTGTCTTTAATGAAAATAGTAAAATATAACAAGGAGTTGCTTTAAAATAATTTTTCTCATGTCTTCTTCTCCATCATGCTCACTTTGTATACCTGCTTAGTAGACCCATATACTCAAGTGCACTCGTAGTTGTTGGCTGTAAAAGAGTTGTGAATGGAAAGTTTAGGACATGCTGGCAGAGCAACACTTGCTTTTCTATGGACCATGAGCCCACAGGAGACATAGCCGTGTCTCTGCAGCCTTGTGCTGTGCAAGCTCTTGCTGACGTTCCTGTGATCTGCGCAGCTGCCCACAAACTCCACAGTTCTGGACTCTGCTTTATGAGACTCTTGCTCACTTCAACTTCAAGATGTGCCTTACAAATAAGATGGCCGTTGACTTACTGTTTACTCCCTTGGAAGAGATCTTTCCTTCCTGCACTTTAATTTCACCCTCCCTTGTTCTTTCTCTCTGTGCTGTGATGCTTTGTTTTTTTTTTTTTAAGTAATTAGTTTGTATGATATGTCCTTTTGTTTTTATTGTAGTTTAAGAGAGACACTGGCTTGCCACTGTCCACTATCTTGAAGATTGAAAAAGTGCACTGACCCCATAAATTTTAATAATTGATTTAAAAGTGAATATTTAAATAGAAGTCAGTTCATTACTTGGTGATGACTAGTCATTGCTATGTAATTCTTCTCCTTAATTGTAATTTTTAAAATTTAAAATGAAACAACTCTTTCATTTTTTTTACTGGATGTGGTGCTATTTCACATTCAGTTCTCACACACTGGTTGTGTTTGAAGATTCCCCTGGGTTTCTAAATTCACGACTGAGACTGTCAACTTCTCCCTAGGAAAAGGTGTGGAACTTAGCTGCATTGCTTTACTGAATGAAAATGATCAGCTTTATTGGAGCCTCGGGAAAGAAGACAGATCAGACCCTAATGTGCAAGAAGATGAGAACAAGACGACTTGGTACGCAGAGGGCACGTGTAAGCGATGCGTGCTGTGAAAACACACAGCACACAGGAGCAGGGAGGCCGGGCCCCCGGCTGCCTGGCGGGATGTTTGTGTTAGCTTTAGCTGTCGCTTCAGGTGGCTTCTCGTTGTCGTTACCGTGTTCCAAGGTGACAAACCATGCAGAAATTTGCCGTGCCCGCCTGAGTTTGAAGAAAGAAGGTTCCCGAGAATGTTAGTGAGGACTTTTAGCATCACTTTATAAAGGTACCAGTGAGAGTCTGGGGTGCGGAAGTCCCCAAGCTCCTTATGAAAGAGCAAGCAGCATAGTTTCTTGGATTCTGAAAACTATGTCAAGTGCTGTATTTTTATTAATGGGCCACAACAGTAAAAGTGGCATCAGTGATCAAACTCAGGTCTTCTGCAAGAGCAGTTCATTCTCTCAACCACGTAGTGATACACAGTTGATGCGTTTGGGGTTTGATTTGCCATCTCCTGTGCTCCTGCAGGAGTCTGACCCCCAGTGTCTTCTGACTGTCTCCGGAGTAGAAGAAGAAATCGACCCTCTCACTGAGAGGCGGAGTCTGTAAAGCGTAGTTTGACTACGCTGGAGAGCTCTGTCGCTGCAAAGAGGCACCATGGCCATGGCAACTCATGCTTTTTTAAGCATTTAATGGAGGCTTGCTTGGAGTTTCAGAGTTTAGCCCATTATCCTCTTGGCAGGGAGCTCTAGGCACACAGGCAGAAACAGCTGAGAGTTCTACATCTGGACCTGCAGGCAGCAGGAAGAGAGAGAGAGCCTCTGGGGTTGGAAAGGGCTCTTTGAAACCCAAAAGCACACTCTCAATGGCAGACTTCTTCCCACAAGGCCACGCCTCCTAATCCTTTCAAATGGTGCCACTCTCCATGACCAGTTGTTCAAATCTATGAGCCTGTGGGCATTCTCATTCAAAGCACCACAATAGTCTAGTCCCTGAGATTGAATTCTGATGCCTTATGGCATGGAAGAGAAGCATCCATAAGTACACAGGAGCTGCTGCCATGATACGCTGTAGTTCAGGGCCCTGCTAGAGGCCATGTCATGCCTTTTGACCACAGGGTAAACAAAGTCTTTTCTTTATAGCCTCTGGCTGCCCAGGATTCACTTATAGCAAGGAAAGATGAAGAACACAAAACTGGCTGGCCATAGTTAATAGGGATGACGGTGTGGGATGAATTCCAAGTAATTGGGAGAAGAAAACGGAAAAAATGAGAGAGGTGTGCCTTTCCCTGAGTTCTGTTGCTCCTTGGAGGAGTAGGGAGGCTAAGCTTAATTCACACCAGAGATGGAAGACATAGCTGACGCTTCCTTTTAGTATTGTAGGCCTATAAATAAATCCTCATCTCCTGAGTACGCTTGCCGGTCATGGACTAAGCCTGTTGCTGAATATTCGTCTTACATTGCAGGACTTCTGAAGGCAAACTGCATGCTTTAAAAACTCTGAGGATTCAGAGGATTACTGAAAAGAATCTCAATGTTCTGTACAATTGCACCGTGACCAACGATGAAGCCACAGACACCAAAAGCTTCATCCTGGTGAGAAAAGGTATGAAGCTCATTGCTCTTCTTGACAGTCTCTGTGCTGTCTCTCTCTTTGTGTGAGCTCAGCTTTCCAAGGGGGGGGAACCCATCCAGGGTCACAGAGCAAGGCGACAAAATCTCCCACTTAGGGGTCTTCTGTCCCATGGGAGCAGCCTCCTCGGTCCCCTCCACAGGAATTGTGAGTCCGGTGCATCCACGAAGCAGAGGCACTCCAACCTGCTGCTTGTTGTGTGATACGACGTTTGTATTCCTGGGCACCGCTCAACACTAGCTCAATTCCTGCTTGCATCCTCAGAGCTTCCGCCTCACATTGCTCCTCTCAGTTCACAGATGTCACCTGGGGAATAGGATCTTCCTGTCTCAGGGATTCCTAGCTATCTCTCAAAGATGGAGGACCCCCTGGGCATGGCTTCTGAGAGTCTGTTTATTAGATAGATATAATCAATTATTTAATGGAATAAGTGATTTTACCGGAACGATTATCTCTTAAAAGTGTGTGACACAAGAGGGACAAAGCTTGAGCCAGGTTTATCCTGCCTCATGTGGAAATTGCCACACCATTGGTGTCTCTCCTTGGAAAACAAGCAAAAGAAAAGAGGAAAGGCAGTGTCTATGTGGATAGTCACTGCAGCATTGTGTAAACTTACAAAATTAGTATCAATGTAAGAATGGGTATATTGTAAATGAGCAAAATGTTGGTCTGATGTGGAAATAAAATGTGATTAACATATAACCTCAGTTAAATAAAAATTTGGGGGCCACAAAAGACTCATCTGTTTTCATGTGTGTGGTATGGTAAACAGGTGAGCCTGGTAGGCACAGGAGCCACGAGAGGGTGCAAGACTCCCCCTGAAACTGGAGTTCCTCATGGTTGTGAGCCTCTGTGTAGCTGGAAACCAAACCCAGGTCCTCTGCAAGAGCACCAAGTTCTTTTCACCTCCATGTCTCCAGTCCCCCCACCCCAAGAAAGTTTGACACTGGCTGGCCATCACCACCTCCTTGGATGGCTGCTAAGAACATTTCACTCTTTGTACCCTTCTGTGCCCCTTCGTGTTTGTGACGAATGCACACTGAATCAATCTGAGAGCTATGTCTCTTTTTCTGAAGGGTAGATTGTCTACATTTTTGCTAAAACCCGAGTGCTGTGTGCTGGGCACTGTTGAGTGCTCTGTAGAGTCTTGTTCATCAGCAACCGTAAATGAAGCAAGAGGTTCATTTATTGTTTTTACTTTGCACATGAAGATACTAGGAATTGGGAGCCTCAAGGATTTTTCCTAAAACACAAACTAATTGATGGAGCCAGACTAGAAACCCAGATTTTCCCCACCCAGTGCGCCCGCTGAAGGTAGTGTGCTGTTGGCTCAGGGCACTAACTTTGACCCTCGTTGGGATCCTTGTGTCCTGTCCTTCAGAAAGCTCCCACAGAGACAGAGCGCCTGAGTGGCCACGTTCTTACTTCATGTCTATGGATATCCTTGCACACATCTCTAAGTTGGGAGTGGGAAGACTGCAGACTCCAGCCAGAGAGTGGGGAGCTAGTGGAAAATGGGCAAATAACTGAATCAGAGTGAAGGCCAAAAGCTGACAACACAGCAATGTGATTGATGGTGGAAAGCAATGGCCACATTTCTTGATTCATGATTTCCTTTTGCTCTATTTTTTTTTTTTTTCTGTAGAAATGGCTGATATCCCAGGCCACGTTTTCACGAGGGGAATAATTGTGGCAGTTTTCATCTCCGTGGCAGCAGTTTCTGTGGTGGTTTTGTGTGTCATCTACAAAGTTGATTTGGTTCTCTTCTATAGACGCTTACTGGACAGAGATGAAACCCTAACAGGTAACATGCTGTGACAGGGACGTCCCAGGCCATGTTTTCATGCTACACCCAATGGAAGGAGCATTGGCCGTCACTGTGGTTTGGCTGCGCTGCTCACAGTCCCCAGAGAGCCGGGTCCCCAGTGTGGAGTCGGGTTGCTCTGCTTGTGTTACACTGTGACGCATGCTCTGCAGTCTTGTACTTGTTTGTGACTTTCTAAATGTGTTTCCTTCGATGTTTCATGGTTGTTCACTGTCTCCTCCTAAATGTCCCATGCTGTCAGTCTGGTTGTGTTTACACGCATACCATACACACTCAATAAAGTTTGTTTCCATTGAGTTTTCTGTCATCCTGGTTTGTTATTCTAACTGGGAAAAGGAGGCCAAATGGCATCCCTGGAAGAACTGTGGGGTATGAACTAAACAATCTCGGTTTTGGTCTTTTACACCCATCTGCTGTTAGCTGCTATTGTGTCTATTTTTCCTGTGTCTCAATGTTTTCAAAAGCAACTAAAAATCTTAAGATTTCAAGATTATTATGTTCCTTAAATGTTAACCTTAATCTGTTGTTTTTGTGTGTGTATGTGTTGAGTTTTTACAGGAAAAAAAAACTTCATAGAGGTCAAATTCAAAATTTGTAAATATACACCAGGAGACCTTCTCTGCCTTGCCATGTCTGTCATTCCCACGATGTCCCCACTGCCCGTTACATCCCATAAGTTATTCATGTGGATTCTTTCCTCATGCTGCCTTTAAGAAGCACCTACTTCACTATTTCCAGTTTTTCTTTATGATTTCTTGTGGATCTGCTCATGTCACTAAAGAAATCCCTCATCTGTCAGGATGGCTCAGGTCCTGCCTGCCTGCCTGTCTCATGCTGCCCAGACTGGCCTGACTTTAATGCTGCCTCCCCGTGCCTCCATCTCCAGGTGCTGGGTTCCCTGGTGTGGCCCTCAGAGTGGCCACCCCCAGTGACTCCTGTGTTGCTGGGTTTACTCCTCTTCCGATGTGTGTTCAGGTTCGTGCTTCCTTTGCTATTACAGAGATGTTTCGTGAATGAAGTCACCCATCATTGCTTCCTGCTTGTGCTGTATCACCACAGGGACTCTCCACAGTGCAATCTCTGTAATGAGCTGAGGCTTTGATAGCTGCTGTCCTTTTGCCTGCCTTGCACACTGCCGCATGACACACTACACAAAGGTTTCGGGTTTCCCTCATAGCCCCCCTCCTTGCATTTCTGCCAGCTTAATAGATGGGGACTTGAGGCCATTTAATTTGTATTTCATTTAATGATGTTAAAAATGCAATCATTTATTTAACATTTGTGTCTCTGTTTTCAGCATATTCACTCTTGGCCCATTCTGTCACTAGGCTTCTTCTCCTTCTCCTTCCTTCTCCTTCTCCTTCTCCTTCTCTTTCTCCTTCTCCTTCTCCTTCTCCTTCTCCTTCTTCTCCTCGTCCTCCTCCTCCTTCCCCTTCCCCTTCCCCTTCTCCTTCCCAGACACTATTTATATCTTAGGTGGAGTAAGCCTAGATTCTGAATTGTAAAGGTAAATGTCCCATGTTGTCATTTGTCTTTGCTTGTTGTGGTGAGGCTATGTGAAAGACCCAAATACATCTTAAGTTTTGGTATCCGATTTTGGGGCTATAAGAACCAAGGACCCCTTAACCTCATGGTAAAAAGTAATTCTTATATCCACTCCTTTGAGATTTTTTCAATTTATTTCTGTTTTTTAGATTATAGAATTACATCATCTTTTCATTTACAACTTTTAATATTAACAGTTAGCATGCTCAGAGAATATGGCTCTTAGCCTACGTATGTGTGATCTTGCTTTGAAAAGATATGAGGCACCGAAGTTGAAAGTCTGTATATGGTATTTTCTCCATGGTCTCTGCTCAGAAAGACAAATATCTGTATTTAAATAGGCATCAAATAATTTTTCTCCTTTTGATTTTCCATAATATTTTCCTTTGTCAATTTTGTTAGACCCATCTTACACATCCTTTTGTTGTTGTTTTTTTTTTTTTTAAGATTGTTTAAATTCATTGACTTTATTTTGTATGTGTGTGCCTGGGTGCATGCGTGTGCACCACATGTATGCAGAAGCCTGCAGAAGATGGAAGAGGGCATCAGCCTGGCACTGAGGCTACAGGTGGTTAGAAATTACCATGTGAGTGCTGACCTGAGCCCAGACTTTCAGCAGAAGCAGCAGGAACTCACAGTCACTCAGCCATCTGTCCAGCCCCAATACTTTTCAAAACTCATAACTGCTGTCATGGCAGTGCACAGGAACATTCAGGAACATGCTCTAAGCAGCACAGAGTGAATCCATGAAGAGGTGCGGTCTGTGGGAAGGTCAGCCATGCAGATATGTCCAGGCAAGAAGACTTTTGTAGCAGGTGCAGCACTCCAGTGGCCAAGAGTGTGCTCCGTGTTGTTCTCTAAAGGAAAGAGATGAAAAGAACCAACTGCCAACAACTATTACAACACAGTCGACTGATACAAACAGCTGGGGAAACGCTGGTCCAGCTGACATTATTATTCTAAGTGACCATTTAAATGACCATTTATATAATGATAGTTTCATTGATTAGGGATCAAAAATTGTCTTTACTCACCAGTGGCTTCCAGACACAGCAGGCCTGAGCCACACATGAACCCACAGAGTCTGCGCCAGCGCAAGAACTGCACAGGTTCAGACCAGGCAAAACCGCATCACTGAAGAGAAGAAGTGGACCAAAGTCCCACCCTGAGCCAGGAAGCTGCTTGCAGTTGATGAGTGCTAGGATAGGGGGAAATCAGTATTTTCTATTAACCCTCTCACTATCCACATTTAAAAATAAATCTTAATGTAAACTACCTGATTAATATCATAGAAGAGAATTATTTGGCATAGGAAATTTGAAATCAATTAATAGTTGGGAACTAGTTTTTCCTGAGTAAGAACAAAAGCATGTTACATGAACTGTAGATACATAGGGGATTGCCTTCCTTGTTTCTCATGATCAGTTATATCTTGATTATGAAACAACTGTGATCCTTTACTTGATTTACCTCTTGGTGCCTATTTTTGCACTGGCTTGATAAAAACATTCACAAAAGCACTATAATTCATTGCCAAGACAATAGCTATAGTTCACAGCAATCTAAAAGAATCACTCAGAGGCAGCAGTTGCTGATTAAATTACTAACTAGTTTTATTTTCACCTACATTTTCTCCTACCTTTGATTGGCATACGAGTCTATAACCTTTATCAAAATTTTCTCATACATGTAATTCTACCGAAACAATTGCTTTATGTCAGCAACAGCTCCCAACAAATTGATGGAGCAGAATACTATAAGAAGAACCGAGCAAGCTTTTGCCATATAGAGAAAGCACTGTTTTGTGAACTTGAATGTGAAGAAATAGGGCTGGGTCATTGCATATAAACGACATGACATGTAAGAAGGGCAGACCCAGAGTTGTTCCTGCCCATCTTATTTTAAGAAAACACCTGGACATGTTTACCTTTCAGTCCAGTCAGTAGAGATGTAACCGCCTGGCCATCGACTTGATTTCTGCGTGATCAAGATAAACTATTTCACCACACTCCTGCTTGTCCATCTACACCTTAACATCGTTGAGGATGTTAGCCAAAACTTCCCTTGTTTATGTCCCTCCCCTTTCGGTGGCCAAGCTGTTTTACTCATCTTTGTCTGTGTCACAGGATTTGTCATCTGCTAATGCGTTTCTTTCTGTCTCATCAATAGAGTGCATGAAAATGAGAGGAGAATCACACACACATTTAGTTATCCAGCGGGCAGAATGAGTTGTGTGTGTGTGTGTCTGTGTGTGTTTGTGTTAGACCCTAGGCTGTGTGTGTGTGTGTGCACGCATGTGTGTGTGTGTGTGTGTGTGTTAGATTATAATCACAACCTCTGACCCCCACCCCCGCATACTTCTCAACGCTCTCCTCGAAATTCCTGGCTCTCTTTTCTGTTGTTGCCAGCTCCTGTGCTAAGCAGCCTTGTTATTTCTTCCACTCTCAGGGTACAGTCTCAGTTCCTTTATTTTACTTTGCTTTGCCCTCACTTTAAAGGCCTTTGGAGAATAAAACCTGGGTGGTTCTGTGGTAGAGTTGAGTGAAGTGAATGAGCTAAGGTGTCACTTAATTCACAGTCCTGGAATGAGGGTCTTCTGTGCTCTCTAGCATTTCATTGTCTTTGTCTGCCTTAATGTCCTGATAGTTATCCTCTCTCTCTCTCTCTACTCTTAAAACAGAAGCTTTAAAAAGATGTTTAGATAATCAGTTGCTTTACATGCCTCTAAGATTTGACAATCAAAAATTTTATTTGTTTTATATATGACTTTCACACAAATTTTTACTTGCAGTTTTCCACAATCATGAATTAAAAGAGTCCATCTTATCTCCTAGATGGTAAAATGTACGATGCGTTTGTGTCTTACCTGAAAGAGTGTCATCCTGAGAATGGAGAAGAATATGCTTTTGCTGTGGAGACATTACCCAGGGTCCTGGAGAAACAATTTGGGTATAAGTTGTGCATATATGAAAGAGATGTGGTGCCTGGCAAAGGTAAGAAAGGAAATCCTGGACCGAGAGTGAATGGAGATTTTTTTTTTCTGCACATTTTATTTTTAACGTTTTTTCAACTTTTATTAATTACACTTTATTCACTTTGTATCCCCCCATAAGCTCCTCCCTCCTCCCCTCCCAATCCCACCCTCCCTTCCCCTTCTTCATGGATGCCCCTTCCCAATTCCACTGATTGGGGAGGTCCCCCTCTCCTTCCTTCTGATCTTAGTCTATCAGATCTCATCAGGAGCAGCTGCATTGTCATCTTCTGTGGCCTGGTAAGGCTGCTCCCCCCTCAGGGGGAGGTGATCAAAGAGCAGGCCAATCAGATTATGTCAGAGGCAGTCCCTCTTCCCATTACTATGGAACCCACTTGGACACTGAACTGCCATGGGCTACATCTGTGCAGGGGTTCTAGGTTATCTCCATGCATGATACTTGGTTGGAGTATGAGTCTCTGGATAGACCCCTGTGCTCAAATTTTCTGGTTTTGTTGCTCTCCTTGTGGAGCTCCTGTCCTCTCCAGCTCTTACTATTTCCCACTTCTGACATAAGATTCCATGCACTCTGCCCAACAATTGGCCATAAGTCTCAGCATCTGCTTTGATAGTCTGCAGGGCAGAGCCTTTCAGAGGCCCTCTGTGGCAGGTTCCTAGGTTGTTTCCTGTTTTCTTCTTCTTCTGGTGTCCATCCTCTTTGCCTTTCGGGATGGGGATTGAGCATTTTAGTCAGGGTCCTCTCTCGATTAGTTTCTTTAGATGTACAGAAATGAGATGACTGATCATCCTTTTACCTTAAAAAGGTACAAATGGCCACATTCCTTTAAGGCAACAGAAGGCAGGCCAGTTGACGGGTAGTAATTAGCTAACCAGGTCAGTCTGATTAACCAAATTCTCATTATCACATCGTAATAGATATTGAGAAAATAGCTCCAGCCTTTCCCCATGGACTCTTCTCATGCTGCATCACAGGTCTCACACCCAGGAAAGGCACAGGTGTTTCTTTCTGAGGCCTCAGTAAACAGAGTGGAAGGCACCTGAGGGAGGCACCCAATGCTGATCTCTGATTTTTGTGTGCACACATGATGCTTGGCACATATGCTAAAAACTAACTAATGAGAGCGAGGAGGAAGAGGAGAAGTAGGAGAAGGGGGAGAAGGGGAAAGAAAAGGAGGAGGAGGAGGAGGAAGAAGAAGAAAAGAAGTAGGAGAAGGAAGGGAAAGAAGAGGAGGAAGAAAAGAAGTAGGAGAAGGAGGGAAAAGAAGAGAAGGAGAAGAAAGAGGAGGAGGAGAACAAAGGGGAAGAGAAGGAGGAAGAGAAAGAATAGAAGAAGTAGGAGAAGGAGAAGGAAGGGAAGGAGGGGAAAGAGGAGGAGAAGGAAAAGGAATGAAAAACACAAATGTTTTTACCACCATTCATTCATCCATCCCATATTTATTATGTGCTGTACCTGTATTAAGTTAGGCCAGGAAGAAAATATGCCAGTAAATAAGAAATAGCTTTGCGTTCCCCTCACACTACAAATTGGAAAGGGAAAATGCTGTTAAGTGAGAATTGTAAATAGCGTGCAAACTAGTAGTGAATCACGAGGTGCGTGTGAGGAGCAGGCCATGCTGGTGAACTTGGCATCTAGAAAGTACATCACAGTTTCACCACCATTTTGTTACATTTCCTTTCATTTCTCCTAAGCTAAGAAAAGAAAAAAGGTTTTCTTTTTGGTATGCCGGATTGTCATTAGGCTTGGTTGACCGCTCTGGGGCCTAGAGCAGAGCTGGGCATGTATGGCTAACCACGTCCACGATTCCCCAGCCACATATGGTTAGCTTAGGTTATTGTTTTAAATCTTTAACCTCCCCACAGAGATGAAGAACAAACTAGTAGTGACTGGAAAAATGTGCTTCGTGTGTCAAGTCTGCCTGCCCATCACTCACCAGCTGTGGGGCTGCAGGCGAGTTCTTCATCACTCTAGACGTTAGCGAAATGGCGGTGAGAATAGCTTCCCGTGAGGTTGCAGCCATGGGGAGATGAATTAATATTCCTTTACAGACTTGAAAGGCACAAGTGCTAGGTGAGTGCCCAGGACTGTGCTTATTTAGATGATTATTTTGCTAGATGTCTAAAACAAATGAAACTGTTTTATTTTTAAAGAAAACCTTGTTAGTTCGGCCAAAGGTTAAAATACTGTAAAACAGGAACATGCATGTTGGCGTACTTTTTTAAAAAAACTCTTTTATTTACGTTTCTTAGATCTTTCTCCCTACTCCACTCTAGTCTCTTCCAACATCCCAACACCAGGTAGGAAAGGGTTAGTGGGAGGGGGCACAGTTCTTTCTTAGCTGCTTCCTGCTGGCCAGTGTCTTTGGGTTCTTTGGAGCCAGGCCAATCCTCATGTCAGGAGATCTCCAGGTTCTTGTCTCACAACAGCCACAGGAGCAGCAAAGGGGAAGCAGCGGCCTTGCTCTTTCTCTTCTCAACTCTCTGGGCTCTGGCATTTACTCTCTCTCTAGAGTCCTCAGAATCTATCTGCAGCTGGCAAAGAGCTCCTCTCAGAGCCCGCAGGAGGCAAATAGTTTCCTGCTGTGAACAATCTGAGTCAGTGCCACATCCCACACCTGGGACCAAAACAAAAGCATGTTTACACCCACAATACATGCAGTCTTCTTTCTCCTGTGTCCGCCCTCAGCTCTCTGACCTGACACACATCTTGTCTTTCCAGCCATCGTTGATGAGATCCATTCGCTGATCGAGAAAAGCCGCAGGCTAATCATTGTCCTAAGCAAGAGCTACCTGACCAATGAAAGCCGGTTGGAACTCGAGAGTGGCCTCCACAAAGCACTGGTGGAAAGGAAGATTAAAATAATCCTCATTGAGTTCACTCCGGCGAGTAGTGGCTCCTTTCTGCCCCCGTCGCTGAAACTCCTGAAGTCCTCCAGAGTTCTGACCTGGAAGGCGGACAAGTCACTCTCACATAACTCCCGCTTCTGGAAGAATCTTCTCTACCTGATGCCTGCAAAAGCCAGCAGGCCGTGGAGAGAAGAGTCAGAGGCAATGCCTGTGCTTTCAGCACTCTGAGCTCCTGAAAAGCTCAATGTCGAAGGAACTGGCACCCTTCTAGATACCTGTGTGTGTGGTTATTCCCAACAGGGCGGTCATTCGAAAGACTGAATTCTGTTAGCATCTCTCCCAGAATGAGATTTGCCATCGGGTCATCAGAGATGAAACAAAACCTTGATCCATGACCCCGAGTTCTAGGAAGAGCCTGAGCTTCAGCAGAAAGCAGTTTGTGATTATTTTCTCCCCACATCAGTGGTCCTCAGCCTGTGGGTGGGTCCCCCTTTGCCAAACTGCTATCTAGAAAAATATGTACATTACGATTCAGAAGAGTAGCAGCGTTGCAGTTATGAAGTAGCAATGAAAATAGTTTTATGTTTGGGTGTCACCACAACTCGGGGAATTGTATTCATAGGGTGCAGCACTAGGAAGGTTGAGGACCTTTGGCCTAGAGCTATCTGCACACTGGCCCATTCAGCAAGGGTGGACCTCCACGTGCAAACTGATTCACGACCAGAGCAAGGTGTCTCTTCAGGAGTTTCCAACTAGCGGGGGATCCCAGTGGGAGGGTCTTAGGTGCTCAAAGAGGCTCTTTCTACCAGCCAGTCTTCACCACAGCTCTCCTTCACCAGGCTGGGGAAGTGGGAGAGAGTGGGGTTGCTGTCTGAAGAGAAGGGAAGCCAGGTGAGAGGAAGATCCAGGGACCTGGCTTCAGGATGAGCTTAGTGCTGAAAGATAGTTCTTGGAAACTCAGTCGACAGAGGCAGACTTTGCTTATTCCTTAGACCTCTTCATAGAAGGGAAACCCTGAACACCTTTGAGTCATGCGTGACAGACAAAAATGTAAATTCAGAGGACTCCGTGAGCCTGTCAGTTTCAGTGGTCCAAAGCTTCTGTTGGCTTTATGTAAATATTTATATTTAGGATCATATTAGCTACTGAAGTGCAACAAACAGCAGTAATTGCTTATTAATTTTATTGGCTGTTCTGAATGGCCTTGGCCTGTAGGCCGTTCCGCATGATGGCTGAGGGTGTGGTCTGAGCAGTCACATTTGAGTGACAACCTTGGGTTTTCTGCTTCTTTGCTAAGCTCTGTGATTTTATCCAGTTTCTCATGCCTCAGTTTCCTCATCTTTAAAATCAGATGAGGAAATCATAAAGTAGGTATGCCTCCTTGACAAGGGAACCAGACTGCTCTGTAAATGAGGCTCTCTGGTGATGGTGGCAATGCCCCTGGTTCATGCTGGCCTCTGTGGTTTAACAGTGGAGTCAACGGGAGCCAGAGATCAGGCAGGAAAGCAGGTCAGAGGAGACAAGCAGCTTTGATCTGAGCAGCAAATTGAGAGAAGAACACAAACAGAGGGACACACACACACACACACACACACACACACCCCACTCTCTGTTGGGATATACAACTCTGGGCACCGGAAGGCACTTTCGTCTCTCTCACAGGAGCTGTCACCCTGGGCCTTCTCCATGGTTCAAAACAAGGGCTTCCTGTGGGAGTTGCTTGTGTGCGCACGCATGTGTGTGAATGCTGACCTGGCAAAGGAAAGAAGATTCGGAGAAGCCCAGCAAGTCTGCAAGCTTGCTTAGTTGTAGCAAAAATGTTCCTGGAAAGTCTAGAGCAGAGCAGAGACTAGCTGCAGCAGATATAGGAGATTTAGAGAAGAATAAAAAAAAAAAGAAAGAAAAAGAAGAAGAATGGGGAGTCTCAGGTACTATTTTTCACTCATGACTTCATGTGCTGTTTGACTGGCTTTTAAAAGAAGGAGAGCTCAGCAAATGTTTTATGTCCTATGTGTGAAAATACAGAATCAGAAGAAATGTTGCTTTGAGAGTTTCTGATAAATAGAATTACTTTAATTCTTTAATTACTCATGCTTTGACACATGATGTTTATTTCATATGAAACATATTTTACATTAAATCTTCAAATGTGTACATTAGATTTGAAATGTCTCTTGATGTCATTTTCATTTATTTTAAGACTGTATTTTCTCATTCTCAACAGAGATTCCCACCTGTTTTGAAGAGATAAGGGAAATGCAGCATGACCTCCTACAGCTATCATTTTTCAGTTTTGCCAGTTCTGCTGTGTGTATCTTTTTGAGAAGTTTATTCCTTGAGAATCTTATACATGTAGATGGTGAGATATTATATCCACGTCCACTTTCCCCTCCACCTCCTCCTAGTCTCCATCACATTCCGTGCTCAGTTATTGTCCTTGTATTTAGAATAACCCGCAAAGTCCAGTGAGTGCTGCCCATACCTGCTGGGCTGGGCCGTCCGCTAGAACATGCACCCATAGGAAGACAGATTCCGTCTCCCCAGCAGCTCTCAGCTGCCGACAGTTGCATCATGGCGGATTCTCCATCCGCGCTGGAATTTCACCGCTTTGGTCTTGCGCTGCTGCGACTTCAGAATGTAAAGGTTGTGTCATATCAGAAGCTCTCCACTCCATCCCCCAGGTCTTCTTCCGCTTCCTCTTCCGGCATGTTCCCAGAGCCTGGGGGGCTGGGGGCAGAGAGGAGTTAACAGAGATGTCTGATTTAGGGCTGAGCGCTCACAGTCGCTTGGTCTCAGAACTTTTTGATGTGCTATGAGTCTTTGCATGACTGCCATCCACTGAAGAAAGAAAGAAAGGAACAGAGAAGAAAAGAAAAAGCACCTTTGCTCAAGGTTGAGGGCAGCCCAGCTCTATAGGCATGAACATAGACATTGAGGAGTTTTCACAATGTAAACATTCAGCAAAGTAACAGTAATTGTCCCCCGCCAGGTCCTACACCCTCGCCAGCCGTGGGCTTTTCACCGTGTTGATGATTCCAGGCGTGAGTTCCCTTGTGTGGAGGGGTTTCGGTATATTCTGAAGTGGCTGGCTACTCCATACACACACACACACACACACACACACATACACACACACACACACACATGCGTGCGCCTCTAGTGCGCCAGCGGACAGACTCTGCCCGGCGTGCCGGAATGTGCCAGTGTTCCGGCACACAGGTTTCTTTTTTCCTTTTTCTCTTTTTCCAACAGCAGCTGCATAGCATCAGTCAATATGAAAGCTGGCCTGCAGGAAGGAAGAACAAGGGAATTCAATCCTAGAAAGACAATGCTTTATGTTCTTTCTCATATGCAGATCATGGTGCCAAATCTTTGGTTTTCACAAACATTTAAATACAATATGTAGTATAAGTGTGTAAGGTTTACACTTTCCTTCCACCCAGCGTAAGGACAGAATTCTACCCCCTCTCTCCCGAGGCCACATACTGCCACTAAATACAGGACCTTAGATACAGTGGGCTTTCACATGCCAGTTAACTAATGTGCATATTTAAAAATTAGTTTTACACAATGCTACCAACTACTCTCAGTAGAATTTGTTTAGATATTTGAGTATCTTTCTCTTCTAAGATTTCTGATGTGCTTAATCTGGGAAGTCAATTCCACACTATCAGAATGGCCCTCTCTCAAGGACACAGGAAACTCTTCACCTATGTCGATTGCTCTGTTATAAGTATTTATTAAATAAGAATTACAGTCACTTTGAAATCAAGACATGGGGTGGCCTACATAGTCCATGGAATTTAAGACCTGTTATGTCCAGGAGCATTACCATGACTCTTCTGTGAGGCCAGGAAACACAGAAGCATGTGTTTCCTCTTCAGCATTGCGTGTTGGGAAATGAGGCTGTAGGTAAAGATTTTAAAGGCTTTGTGCCTTTGTACACTTGTCTGGAAAGGTGGCATATGCCACAAATGCACAAATCAGGCTTCACAAGCATGAAGCTGTCTGCTTGGGAACAGCTCAGATTAGAGGTGGTTGGATGCCTTCTAAGCCATTCAGATCAGGGCAGAAAGACAAAGTGAGAGGAAAACACACGCTGGGTGAGGTGTCACCGTATATGACATCCCCAGGATACACGGGGGGGGGGGGACTAGAGAGGTGGCCCACCGATGCTGCCAAGGTGTGAGAAGGGCGGGTGCTGACACGCTGTCAGAAGCGGACAGAGACTCCTGAAGTGTGAGGAGAACAAAGCTGGAGATAGCCACATTTTCAAGAGCTCTCGAGCGCAGGGCGGGGTTGGGGGAGGAGGGCCTTCCGAGGGACCAGGCCACAGAGCTGACAGGAAACGGTGTGTGGGCTCTGTGGGAAGGACAGGGACCCTTCCCCTGCCTCTGGCATGCCACAGAGATAACAATCAGAGCCCAGGCTGGGAGCCCTCGGTCAACACCTATGTGTTTTGGAGATCGGTTTCTAATGCCTCTTGTGGGTGAAATACATACTCAGAGACCACACTCCTCACTTATAAATTGCTACAACTTGTGCGTGTGTGCTCAGTAACGGATTGTTACCTGAGCCTTGGGTTCCTCAGAGACTATCCTGGAATAGCAGATGCAGATCTGGGACATACCTTGGGCTTCACCTCACCTTTTCTGCTTCATCAAACATGGAAGCTACAGCTGTGTTATATGTTAAGTTCTCCACTAACACATTACTTTGAAAGATACCCAGCCAGGCCTGATCATTTACATCCAGGGAAGCTCAGACAGGAGGATTGCTGCAAGTCTGAGGGTAGGCCAGGCCACATGGTGAGCTACAGACAGCCCATTTTGTGGAGTGAGATCCAGGGAACGTACTTCTGAAGAGATCACTGTTTAGCCGTAAAAACTGCAATCTTATTTAGACAGAAAAGCCAATCCAGGCAGATTCTTTCACCTGTAAGTCCCAAACCATTCAAAACATGGAGGCTGCCAACAAAGCCGGTGACCTTGCCTGGAGATGCATGCAGCCAGGAACTCTGGACACAGATGCCAGCACCCATCTCTGAGGGCACCTTGGCAGCGTTTTTGAATGTCAGTCTGAACAGGAGGGCTGGACGGGGCACTTCCAGCAGCACAGGAAGCCACTGAAGGACTGACATTCTTCAGTCCCTGTGTGTTCTCTAACGGTCGTTGTTAATCGGAGTGGGGTATGACACTGGCATTGGACGGTCACCTGTCATCCGTGCCTTTAGACTTCATCTCGATGCTGATTTACCCATGGCCTGACTAGAAGTCATCTTGGCCAGAGGGTCGCCCTCGGAGGAAGTGCTCCAAGGCCATATGTACTCTACCGCACACAGCCATCTCCACGACTGATTAGACCTCCAGACCCTGCCTGAAAAGCAACTAACCTCTGTAGTAAGTGTAGATCATGGTGCCCCTCAAAAGAGGCCTCCAGGATGTGTGTGCTCGCCAGGTGGGCATGGCAGCCACCTGAAATCACAGCGTCGGGGAGGCGGGGACAAGGGAGACCTGAGTGGGCTGGCTATCCCAGCAGTCGGTGAGCTGTGGGCTCCGCGAGAGCTCGTGACTCGATGTAACCAGTGGGGGATGGAAGAAGAACTACACGGTAACTACACGTTAACTACACGTTAACTACACATGCATGCACAGGTGTCCCTGAACACACATGCTGACGCGCGCCTCTACACACATGTGAACCCTCACACGTGCAAGCCCACCACGCACCAGGTAAGCCACTGTCCCGTGAGGAGCGATGACCAGATCCCACCTCACGGCACGCAGGGACGTCAGGTGGCCTCAGATGCGCCTGAGGACGTTCTGTTCTGATGATTCTCGGGAGGAAAGCCCCCACACAGAGGCACAGACCTTATTTTCTTGGCCCCACTGCTGGGTTCTGGGAGCTTTCATGCTGAAGAGAGCAAACAGAGCTTGAGAGCCATGGTTAGGCCTATTAAAACGAGTGTGAAGACCGACCGGGAAGACGCTCTGCACCTGCGAGCTGGATGAGTCTGTCCTCCGATCGGGTAACTAACCAACACTGACTAGCAGTGCAGATGCACCCCCAGACTCCCGCCGGCGCCCTCGGGGTACACCGTCTGAAAGCTGAGCAGCCACCCTTGCCATTCCAGGTCTTCAGTCTCTTGCCGGGCGCATCAACAGGCAGGCAGCCTCCTCGCTATAGAGCAACCACTGTTGAATCACCAGGAAAATTGGCAGAAGTTCCACGTTCGCTGAGCAGCTGCCCCAGCCACCTCCTCGTGGATGTCGTAAGCTGCGTGTTTTCAAGCGTACGCGAGCACATTTTCATGTGACGGTTGTCCCCCTGCCCAAGCAGACCACGCACTTTCAAAGTGGTTCCTCTCTGGACTCACCGTTGCACCATTCCATTCAAATCATTAAGTTAGCAAAGCAAAACACTGCCAAGAGGAATCGACGCTTAGGTTTTAAAAAGAGCAATAGAAGGCACCCAGCTGTTTACCTTCATTTATCAAATGCCGATCACACAACAGTTCACACATAGATAGCAGGAGAAACATGCATCAGATGCTCAAATATCTGCAATCCGATGCAGAAAATAGATGCTTTCCCATGCTCCGCCTGACTTCCACTGCGGCCTGGGCTATTGCTGCTCTGTGTTCTTATATTACTCTATCCCTGTGCGTGCCGTAACACGCCATAAGACACGGGTGTTTCCTACAGCATTTCACACACTAACAGCAATCTGCTGACACTCCAAGTGTCCATCTTTGACCATTGTAAAGTTGACATGTAAGTCCTTCGGTACTGCTGCTGAGTTGCAGTCATTTCCTTTTTCTGCTGTGTGGTTTACTGGCACGAGAAGACACTGTGGCCTTAAGCTGCTCTAGCTTTTTTTCTTAGACACGTCTTTATGAAGCTGTGTCCGCTGCCAGGGAGAGATTGTCTTCAGAGTCCAGGAACAGCCTTACATTTACTGAGTATGAGATTACCTAAAGCAGACAGAGCAAGAAAAGATCACGGGGTCAGGGTGGGTCAGTAGGGAGAAAGGAGAGACAGAGAGATGAATCTTAAGTCAACACTGAAAGAACAGTTTTAGTCAACACTGCAAGTTTTACTTAGTCACCAATTTTATATTGGTGCTCTCTGCATGCAGAAAATTCCAGTTCTTGATGATATTAATGTCATTATTCATTTTTAATGTTACAATGTTTATAATATATAATATATACTAGCTTCAGAATAATTTTAATACTTGTATTTAACAATATATTTTTTAACTAAAAGCAATTTGATATTTTTAACAGTGTTCCCCCTTAGGAATATTTTATTACAAGATAAAAGAACGTTCTCAAGTCATTTGAAGTTATTTTTAATAGCGCTTTGTTGACTCAATATAATTAGGTTAATTCTTCATATTTTTACTTTTAGTGGTTGTTTCTTACAAGTTCACTTGGTATGAAAAAATATTTACATCCTTTGAAGAGCAAATCTACAAAATAAAGCTCATACAGAATTTACTTCATCACCTGTTTACGCTGTACCTGATAGTAAACATTAAAAAAAAAAATCCTGTCTGGCCCCTAGAGGCCTTGCGGGTGTGGCTGCTGTGTCAACTGTGTCAGCAGAGGTCCTCGAGGAAGGACGCTACGCCCACGCTCCGTGTTCTGACCTGTGGACATCTGAATAATCAGTAGCCTAACTAGGCTGAAAACAGCGAGCCCCAGACAACCACCATTCTAGGGCTGTGTTTGCACTCTTTTTGTCAATAAATTGTTGCTTCATATAAGTGATATTGATGAGATGGAGATTTTTAAAGTTCACTAGAAGAAAGCCTTGAGGTTTGAAATTAGAGGCAATGACGGTGGTCCTCATTTTATAAGAAGAAAAGGGCGGGGGAAACCCTTTTGTTGAGAAATCGTGCTGAGTGTCACCATCCTTTACCGGAAATTCCTGCAAAGAAAGCCGCCTTACTCACTATTTCACCTAAACCTAACCACAAACCTTTTCTTGTCAGGAGGCTGGCCAGAGAACAGCTTTCAAAGCTTCATTTCAGGGCTTCTTCTTCCATGGACAGAGGTAGCTTACTTGATTTCCCTGTGTTATGACCATGCTCTTTTTCCAATGCCAACGGTCCTTTGCAAAATACCGAGGTTGTCCTTTTCTGTCCACGTGTGACTCGTTATTTCCAGACTGTGTAATTTGGATAATTCTGACATCTTCTGTAAGTAAATCTCTTGCTGAGTAAAAAAAAAAAAAAAAAAAAAAAAAAAAAAAAAAAAAAAAAAAAAAAAGGAGTAGAACCCTTTGAAATGGATGTTTTTCACACTTTTTTTTTCAGATGTACAAGTTGGCAGTCACTGACATAAAAACTTGTTTTGTGTGTGTTTATACGAACAGGAAACAAAGGTAAGAAAACAATATCCTTCTGCTAAATTTCCTAACCTTAAGTAATTTTTTAAATGACTTGAGAAATGAATTGCTAAGCAGGTACTTTTCATGGAATATTTTTAATGAATTTGTATCTCAGTGTAGTTTTTAAACATTGGGTGGAGTGCAGGGAGGCTTGTAGAAGAGTGGGGGAAGGACAGAACTACTGGGAGGGGACAGGAGCTCCACAAGAAGACCAACAGTCCCAGCTAACATGGGCCCAGAGGGCCTTGTGGAGACTGAAGCAGCAACCAAGGACCAGGCATGGATGGATATCCGCTCTCTGCACATATATGCTCAATGGGCACTTAGCCTCAATGTGTCCCCCAGAAAGGGGACTGGGGCTGTCTCTGACAAGGTTTCTTGCATGCTTTTCCATCATTTCACCCTGGCTTGGCTGCCTTGCCAGGACACTGTGAAAGAGGAAGTGTTCGGTCCTGATGAGACTGAATGTGCTGGGTTTGTGGGGAGGGGGGAATCCCCTTTTCTGAGGCTTCTATGTGGAATATTTTATGTGTCTGTGAAGCCCATTTGAGCTGTGGTGCACGTTAATGCCCAAGTTTGTTTGCTGCTGCTTCGTCGGGATGATCCAGGACTGAAGAAAACGGGATGTTCCAGTCATTCTCTGTTCTTGCAGCTGAGTGAATCTGTTTGTGTCCAGCAGTACCTTTTAAAAATGAAATTGGGTACCCAATGTTGTTCAGCACATTCATAGTAATTCTATTTCTTAATGAATCACTTTCTTGTTAATGTGTACTAACTTTTAAAAACTTTTTCTCATTATGGCATGGGGTCTCTTTTGGTAGACATATAACTATTCCGGTTTATTTTGGGCTTCAGTTTGCCTGATATGTTGACTTTTGTTCTTCTTCCCTCAGTCTGTGTCTATCTTTGCCAGTAGAGCGGCTTTACTGAGATGTCCCTGTAGACTCTGTCATTTGAATGCTTGGTCCTCAGTTGATGGCACTGTTTGGGTAGGGCTAGGAGATGAGGCTCTGTTGGAGGAGGAATGGCAATGAGGAGTTTAAGGATTTCTGCCATCCTCAGCTCACGCCCTCTGCTTTGTGCTTATGCAAGATGTGAGCCCCAGCTTCCACTCCGTCTCTGTGTTTCATGCTGCTGCTGTGAACCCTAACCCTCCGGGACTGTAAGCTCACATAAAGTCTTCTCTATGCTGCATTAATCACAGCAATTAAAATGAAAAGTAACCAATACAGGAGTGTATTGTAGACAACAAATAATTGGCTCTTACTCTTTTATCTGCTCTGCCAGTTTAAATGGTTTAATCAGAAAATTAAAACCATTTGTATTTAGGGTTATTGTTGAAAAGAATTTCTTGACTCCTAGGCTTTTGTTGATTGTTTTCCTGTTGATTTAATAGTTTTTCTCTCCCTTTTATGTTAGACGTTAGCTAGTTTACTGAGTTGGAATTGACTGAGCTGTACCTAATTATTTTTGGTGTATGTGTTTCTCTCATGAAGTCTATTTTTCCCTGTGTTTTCACTATCAGGACTCTCTGTTCTCTGCCCGTGTGTGGAATTCCTCTTAATGTCTTCAACAACAATGGTTTAGTTGTCATGAACTACTTTTCATTTTTCTTGTTTTGGGTTTGTTTTATTTCTTCACTGATTTTTGAGATAGAGTTACTGAAAACAGTCATTTCTGTTGCTATTTGCCTCTTTTCACTGCTTCTGATACATCATTCTGTACTTTCAGAGTTCACAATGAGGGGAATTTTTTTTTTTTTTTCTGAGTTGGCATTTGGTCTTTTGTAGCTTTTGATATAGTTTCTTCTGTTTGAACTATGGTTTGTTTTTTTTTGTTTTGTTTTGTTTTTTTTTTTTTTTTTTTTTTTTTTGAGACAGGGTTTCCCTGTATAGTCTTAGCTGTCCTGGAACTTCTCTGTAGACCAAGCTGGTGTGGAACTCACAAAGATCTGCCTGCCTCTGCCTCCTGAGTGCTGGGATTAAAGGCGTGCTCCTCCACCGCCCAGTGAACACCGAAGCCTGACGCCTGTGTTTTTTTTGGAGACATCATTCTTTGGTCTGTCTGGGTTTTCAAAACTTCTTAGGCTTATCTGTCCATTTCCTTGTGGTAATTGGCAACCATTTTGCTCAAATGTTAATGAGTAATTTTCTGTATATTATTGAACTTTGCCTATTTTTGTATATTTCTACACTACTGATGTCCAAGTGTCATATCTTCTGGTCCCTCACCTCTGATACTCTGCCTCCTCTGGTCTACAGGAGGAGTTTTTGCTGAGTTTCCCACTTCTGTGGTCCTCCCCCCAAACTCTTGATTTTCTGTCTTAACGTTGTTCCAATTTCCACTTCCTCTTTTTCAATGTTCACGTTCTTATCCATAATTTATTCCCATGCTTCTTTTTAGTGCCCTGTTTGCTTCTCCCTTGCAGTAACTGATCATTTTTACATGATGACTTTGGGCGACTTGCCCAGCACGACATCATGTCCTTGTCTGTAGGCCTAGGGTTGGCATGCTGTCATCACGTGGGCGTGTAACATTACCTCACTTAATCATGTTTACTGAGATTTTCTGTTATAATTTTTTTTTGTTTTGCTTTGTAGCTTTCTTCCATTTTTATTTGAAGTTCTCCTGAGGGGAACTTGTATGGTCCTCCTCAGGACCATACAAGGAGGAGTAAACAAACCATTAAAATAACACAAAGCAAAGCAAAGTATAGAATACACTTAAAATCAGTGAAAACAAACTACTACACCGATACCCATAGAACACAGTATGGTACAATATCAATGTAGAATATGCTGTGAAGCCAATTATTATTTTAGGTAAAAGTCAAAGCAGCAAATGAAAGAAAAGAGGGAAGAGAGCAAGAAAGAGTGAATAGAAAGGGAGGAGAGTTATATAAAACAAGGCACAAAAGGTATGAGAACATTATGAAAAGGGAGAGGAAAGTAAAAACGAGTAAAAACTGCATTTGGTAACACAGGAAAGGATTAATGACTGAACAGATTTAGATAATTACGCGGACAGAAATAACATTCAAACTCTTTAGGAAATAAAGTTGAAGTACTCCTAGAAGTGTAATAAAAAGGAAAAGTGGAGCGATGGTGTCAGAAGCTACTCCAGGGCCCCATGTCATGTCATGGGGGACCCAGGATGTGAGGTGCTCATCCTTTGTATGGGCTAGAGATGACAGGGGGAAGCTGCTTCATGCCACTGAAGACACCCACGCAGAGCCTGGGCTTCCAAAGGCCTGTTTGGGCGGATGTACTCTTTCACAGTTTCCTGTGTGACCTGAAGCTTGGTCACAGGTTTTGATTTCTTCATTTCCTCTTTCACAGATGAGGAGGGTGCCAGAGGAAGAGCTTTGACCCTCCGCACCGCCGAAGCCATGACAGGAGCAGAGGAGAATCATGCTTTGTTTGGGCTGGGTGTTCCTTTGGTTTGTTGCGGGGGACCGGACCTCAGGGTTTAATCATTCAGGTAGGGCTTTGTTTTACACGTTAACACCACGGGCCTTGTGGTCAGAGTCTAAAGCGACAGATAACCTGGGAAATCAGCCGCGTGGACATAGTACACAGAATGGAGAGCCTTGTTGTACTGACTCTATTTGTAATATGAACAAGAATCCTGCCTTCTAACACATTTCTCTGGGTTGTTCCGTTTGCTGTAATTCTCAGCTTGTGCCACCAGGAACGTTCTGTGGATATATTCTATGGGAAGTGTGAAGGATCTTGTCCTATTTTGTGACTTACAAGAGCTTTGGAAGCAAGATTTCTCCCGTGTCAGTCAAACGTCACCCACAGGAGGCCCTGCTCCCACGCGCTGCAGTGGTCATGAGGACCTAGCTGCCGTCCAGTGGTACAAGCAGCCTCAGCAGGGAGGGCCGCTGGAGGAGATCAGCAGAGGCTCCGCTCGTGTGCAGGACAAAGGCGTGCTGCATACAGTGGCCTCCCGGGAGAACAGTGCTTCATCATATATTTGCAGACCCAGAATTAGGTATGTCCCAAAGGCATCCTGCTCTGAAAGTATTCTCAGATTTCCTGTGGTCCAGACAAGTGCCAACAGGGCCTCCTTTGTCTCCTAGGAGCCCCCAGGATACGGCTTGCTGTATCAGGACAGTCTTAAAGGTTAAGCCTCAGAGAAATGAGTCCTGTGGGGACGAAGCACACGCGGAGCAAATCCTGTTTCTTGGTAGCACTGGCTCCATTCACTGCCCCAGCCTCAGCTGCCAGAGTGACCTGCAGCGCCCGAGGATGACCTGGTACCAGGTATGAATGCATTTCCTAAAACTGCCTAGGGGCATCGTTGTACGGTGCTCTATAGACACATGAGTCAGACAGCCACATGTCCAGAGCTGTATACAGGCTGCTCTGTGCCTGTGCTAAGGCCTGGGTTCCAAAGTGGCTTTTTTCTTTATGCAGAGTACGCCTTGCTGTTCAGATCGCTGGAGCCACCCTTTTGATCAATATGGGGGGGGGGGGGTCCCAACATGTGAGAGTCTCATCACAGTGATAGGATGTGAACAGGCCTCTGCGTGTTCAGGACACGTTAATTCATTTGTGCTGTCACAGAGAACAAGGGCATTGCTGAGGAAGGGAGCTCCCTACAGGCAAGTCTTGAAGAAGATCTGAAAGAAATGTAAGAGTAGAATAGTTTCTGAAGGGAGGATGGTGAGGAAAGCACAGCAGGTCCCCAGGTGACAAGCGACTTGTGCAAAGCCTGTGGGAATGAGGGAGTCCTGGAGAAAAGGGTGCAGGAGAGAGTTTACAGTAATGCTGGGGAAACGGGTAAACAAATATGAGAAAACAGCCCATGTTTTCCCTGGGCTGGACTTTTCCAAGTGCTTGCACACATGGATGCTCATCCAGCAGAGCCCCAAATGTTGCACCCTCCTCCACCAAGGCCACACCTCCCAACCCTTCTCAAACACTTCCACCAGCCGGGGACCAAGTGCTCAAGTATGTTAGCCTGTGGGGCCATCCTCATTCCAACCTCTGCAGGTAGTGACTTCTGAATACATCGTGTCCCTCCCTCCCGACCTGCAGAACTTCTGCTGAGGAGAATTATATTTATATACCCTCTCATGTGATGTGTTTCAGCTCTCGCTGACTTCCGTAATCTTTCCTTAGGTTTCACTTTGGGCAGTTAATGAGCGGTCCAGAGCACTGTTCTTCTCCAGGCTTGGGGAGCTATTACATGTTTCCCTGTACGTGTCCTTTGATACTGTCGTCTCTTCCTTGGAAACTTCTCAACGTGGTACTCCATGAGGCCCACAGCCTTTCTGTTATTGCTGACTCTCTTTGCTCTTATTCTGGGTGGTTTCAGATGTTCCCTTCTCCCTGGCTCTTCCTCTGCTGGTCAAGTCCACTGTCAAATACCTTAAAGATGTTTCGCTTGTGATTATATTCTTTTTTTTTTTAATGGATTTTTATTTAAAAATTATTTTATTTTTCCAACTTCTTATTTTATTTTATTTTTGCCTAGGAATTGTTTTCAAATTCTGTTTTTCCCATCTGTGATATCTTGCAGTTCTTCAGACTGAAAGTTGCCATGGAATTTTTTTTTTTTTTTGCCTACCCTTCTGCAAATAGATCTCCATGTTTCAAACTCCATTATTGGGACTTTATTCATTTCCTTTACATCATTGTGTGCCCTGGTTTCTCATAATCTTCATGTCTTTGCGTTGCTGGCTGCATGTGTGAGAGGACCCTGGCCCTGGCAAGTGGTCTTAGCTGGTGACAGGTCTTCAGGATAGAGTCTAGCTTGGGATTCTGGTTGGGGCTAAGGTGACTTCAGAGGACTTGACTTTGGATTGGATTCTCAGGAAGGCTTGGGACAACACCCGTCCTCTGGGGTTGACTGGAGCTGTGAACTTATCCATGGTCTGTTGAGACAATTGGCTGAACTCTGTGGTCAGGCAAGCTAGGCTTTTGGGATGTCTGTGATGGCTGAGTTGCCCTTCCTGGATGGCAAGCAATGTTTGAAATCCGTGTCGAGCAGGACTCTAAGGCAGGCTGCAGGTTTGGTGCTGTCTTTGGGCTGCAGCTCAGCCACTGAAGCTGAATAAAGGTGGTGGCTGTGCTCCACAGGCAGGTGGTGAGTAAAGGTGGTGGCTGTGCTCCACAGGCAGGTGTACCCCTCAATGCCCCGAGCCACAGGGAGGGTTGGCTTGAAGACTGTTCTGCCGCCAGTGCCAGGCAGGGCTCTGCTCCCGGTACTTTCCTGGCTGCACGGAGCAATCCTTAGCCGAGAACCGAGCCTGCTGAGCACAGAGTGCTTGCATGGTCTTAATTAGTTAATGGTGGGAACTTCAGAATAAAGTACCTGTGTTTTCTCTTCATTTCTTTTCTGGTTTCTGAAAATAAAATTTAAAAAGTCTTTAAGTAAACAGATTCTGTAAGTAAAAGGCAATTGAATTTAATAAGTTATAATAAGTATGTTTTGACGCTCAGCAATTCTTTGACGCACTAAAGGACAGTGGAAGAGTTTCCTTAGAAATGACCTCTACACCAAGATCTCTTTGTTGCTGTGGCCTCCTGTTAGGAGGACCAGAATGTGAACTAGAATCTCCACTGGTGTTTTAAGACAACCCCACCCTGGGCCAGGTTGGTTCGCTGCACTGCTGACGTTGAGTCACAGTGCTGTGTCCCACGAAATCTTTGCACGTGCTTTTGCCACTTCTCCTCTCTCTTTCCATTCGCTTAGCTCTCACAGATACTGGAGTCTTTGGGCACATTGTGAGCTGCCTACCATGGAGAGCTGCTGAGCAGTTGGCCAGACCCGTGGGTTAAGGCGGTTTCTAAGTAGGGAGGATAAATCACTATTTAGATTACAGTTTTGGAAGTTGTTTCCCAGGTTGACCCATTGGCCCTCCGGTTGTTTTCACTGCAAACACTCCCCTCAGCATCCCCGGGCAATTTTAAACACAGTTATCCACTTGTGGTGCCATCAATGCTGAACTGAAGTGGGGCTCATCCTTCTCCTGCCATTCCCTCAGCTCCGTGATAGCCCAACCACGTGGGTCAACTCTGGGGCAAGGCCAGCCCCTTCTGTAAGCACTACAACCAGACAACTTGAGGAGCATTGTCAGTTGTCTTCCTGGGATGAGAGTGTGTGACCCATGTTCCCAACTTTCCACTCATTCCTGTTCGATTCTAATGCATTGGTTTTAGCTCATCATTCTGTGTGTGAAGAAACTGGAATTATGGTTCTGTAATTCTATAATCCAGAGTACTAGGTATCATCAGAATTTTGATGCTCATAGATTAAAACATGGGCATGTGATTCTTGTCTTAAACATTTTAATTTTATTGAATATAGATTTTTTATATATATAATATATTATAATTGTAGTTTCCTCTTTCCCATGTCCTCCCAGCCACCCAAATCCACACTCTTTCTTTCTCTGTCACTAGAATGTAAACAGGCAACTGCCAAACCAAATGATCAAAACAGAATAGGACAAACAAACAAGCAGAAAAAAGAGCCAACAAAAAGCACAAGAAACTCAGATGCAGACACACACACAGTCACACACAGGAGTCCCTGAAAAACACGAGACCCTGACCTGTAACACATAAGCAAATCCTGTAAGATTAAAACAACACTGTGTTGGGGAGGGGCTCTGCTGACCAAGCTTACCTGCTCCAGCTCCCAGCTGAGGTCCGGAGGACCCTTCTAGCTGCACCTTGTCTATCGAAGGTCTCCTGTTCAGGTATCTGTACTCCTCGGTTATCTGAAAAGACACCGCACGTCCTGTCGTTCAGCTCAGAAGGATCTTTGTGTTTAACAGGGAGATCATGAAAGTATTTTCAGAATCATACTCCAGGGCGGCTTTCAGTTATACAAGGAAAATCAGGTGAGTTTTATATGGTCGTTAGTGCATACAAGCTGTCTGATATTAGCCGTTGCTTCCTCCCCAAGTCCTCACAAACCAGCTGTTTAATAATTTACTAAGTACTTTCGCTGGAAACTGACGTTGGACTCATAATTTTAAATGTCCGGTTCATTACTTTTTATAGATTATATTAAAATAAATATTACTACCGGACTGGACTGAAGTATAAGGTTAGAGTTGTTGGGTGATGGGAGCAAGAGATTGTGTGATGGTACTCACTAAGAAAGATTAGCATCGCAACAGAAATTGGAGAGCAAGTAGTCTGTTCAGCGAAGGATTAGCCACTGCTCTGGGTGAGAGAAGCAGAGTTCCCTCCTGGCATAAACTCTATGGGAGTGGAAATGAAAACTGTGGGTTGCTCCTGAGGCACTGGGGCCCTGCTGAATTGTTTGAACTTTCCCAGTGTGCATTCTGACGCTCAGAACCAGCAATGGGAAAATGGAGGGAAGGGACATTCTCCTGGAAGAAGAGGCAGTTTTCACAGAGGACAAGTAAACAGACAATCATAACACGTTAAGTTATCAAGCTGTAGAAAGCAAAAACCGATTCAGTCATAGAGAGCAAAGATATGATATGCTCAAATCCAGACAAGATGATCTAATGACAAGGAAACATTTGAAGTCCATCAAGAAGAATGGGCTAAAAATGTAGATCCAGGAAGTCCCCCAGAGCAGGTGGGGGAAGCCCAGATAGGAACTCCAGTGTAGCCTGATTTAGACTCCTAGAGAACCCTACAGTTTCAGTGTGTTCCCTAATGCTGTGCTGCCTGGCAGCCAATTACACTTCAGGATGGTACATTACAGTATCACACCGGTTGCCCTCTTGCTAAGACTGGTTTTGCTTTTCTCCTCACATACTCCCTAAATGTCTGTCTTAGCGTTGCCAGGTTTTTACTTGTTCTTGCCAGCATTCCTGACAGTCCACACAGACCACACTGCGATGCTCCTCCTTTTCACTTCTGCTTCGCCTCTGAGCACAGCACAGTTCTTTGGGCAGAGCTCTCTGCCTCTCACTCCTGCCAGGCTTGTGTGTGACTGAATAATCTGATGACTGCTGCTTTCCCCGTAAGTTTTATTCCCCCCCCACACATCCTTTCTTTGAACTTTCTTTTGAGTTCTATTTTGTGAAGTCTTTGATGACGTATGCTAAGCCACCATCAGCATCTGTAAAGTGAAGATGAGGTCTGCTAGGTCACTGTCCCCCTCTAAGGGGTTGACTAGGGTCTTGGTGACAGTGCCTTCTGTGTTCACTCCTTCAGGTTCTCAGGATGCACACCTACGGTCTCTGTGCTGTCTTTATATGCTCTTACCGGGTCCTCTAAGTCTCTGGACTTTTCTTCTCATTCTTAGCCTCACTCCTGGGGTGCTCCCGATCTTTGTGATCCCTTGAAAAATATTTAAGCTGTGTCTGCCTCTTGCCCTGGCTTTTCATCCTGTCTATGACCAGTGTGGCCCTCTCAGGCTCTCTGCCACCTCAGGGGAGTTCTTTTTTGGGCCACAGGAACTGCCTCAGACACTTAGAGGAGGGGAAATTCCTGCTCCTACCTGTGAGAAGGCCCGTGTGGAAGGGAAATCCCTCAAGCAGTCAGTGAAACTCTTAGTCAGAAAAACTATATTCAGTACTCTAGTGGACGTGTTCATGCTAGTTTTCCTTTAAGTCTAAAATATTTGTCTTCTCCTTTGTAAGATGAAAAAGATAAGATTCATGCAAGTCCCGACTCTGAGACCCCTTTGGACAAGTGAGGTCTCTTGGGGGGGGGCAGGGAGAGTGTTCAAGAGAGAGGCACAGCGAGAGAAATTGCTCTTTAAGGGAGAGTCACACGAAGGGAGCTAGTGATAACACAGGCAGCAGTGTCTGAAGAGAGAGGCCGTCTCCTAAGACAACAGGAGACCACTGAAGGTTTCTGAGCGAGATGGTGGCAAGGGAGGCAGCAGGGCTACCGGGCTCTTTGGGAGAGATGAGAGAAGAGAAAGAGGGAAGGGCACAGCCGTGGCCTGCTGTGGGAGGCGGGGCTTCTGGAGGGAGTGGGACCTAACGACAATGGTGTGTAAGCATATGGGAGAGAATTTTGCAACCAATGTAGAGAACAGATTCTTACCCTCTTGTCGATTCTCCAATCTCCGTTCTTTAGACTAGAATTTTAAGAGCTCTGCTCTTGGTGCTCATGGGAAACTGGAAGGTCACATGCCATAGAAACACCATACACGGAGTGAGGCTGCAGGGCTTAGGGCAGGGGCAACCAGTCCTTCCACAGATGTTCACTGAGCCCCACTAGGCTCGAAAGAATGTCAATGACATGGCGGTGCCTATAGTGGTCGTTACCACAGACTCTGAACTTCACACCCAGCTGCTAGTCACTGTTCTCAAATGTCCTATCCAGGACTCTCCTGCTTGAAAACCTTTCTTGCTTCATTCATTGTCTTCCTAAAGGACACTTCTCTTTAGTTGGTCCCTCGGTATCCTTCACAGCCCTGCAGACTCCAGGAAGCAGCCCTCCTTTGTGCGAGCCAAGCCTCCCTGCCCGCACTGTGCACGGTGTCATAGAGAAGCTTGATACCGGGGTCTGCCTAGAGAAGGGACTCGTGTTTATTCCTTTCCACAGCCGGGATTTACTAGCTACCTAGGGACCAAGACGGCCTTCAACAGCATAGACAGGGATGCACACCATCGCATCCTTACTGTGCCGGTAACAGCTGCTGGCCTCCAAGGCTCTGGGTGTGGGAAGCAGCAGACATGCCCAGAGCAACTGGAGATTCTGTTCCCCAAAGCTGAGTCCTGTTGATGCTGAAGCTGCAGCCTGGGCTCTGGGGAATGCAGTGGGGGACATACAAATGCGGGGGTCCCAGAGAGCATGAACCCCCACATACGAACAAAGAGGCTCCAGCCCAGAGTGAGAGCCCGTCAGCCTGTGGGGAGCCAAGACCAAGTCAGCGGTGGCTTCTAAGTAGGAAGGTTTTTGTTTGACTCTCCATTCAGATCCAATAACGATTTCTTAGTATTAAGGCATTCTCTGTCATCATTACATAGTCCACTTTATTTGCTTAGTGTAGTTTGCTTACAATTTATTCTTACATTCAAATTAAATTTGCTTAGTGAGAATATTTTGAATATCCCTTTTATTGAAAACCCACAAGTTTCTCAAAACACACACACACACACACACACACGAGCACAGATTGCCATTCTCAAGCACATGCACACACAGTTTAGCTAAGATTAAGTTGGGCACCCTGCTGGGTCCACTGGGCGTTCTAGAATGCTCTGGGCCCGCGATGTGCTTGGGGACACTGAGTCGGTGGCTCTCTGTGAGCTGCTCAGACCCAGCTTTCTTTTCTCCGAAGTGTGCCTGTGCTAGGAACCGCCTCTCGGGTCACCTTACACTGGAGTGTGGAGCACAGAGTCTTCCTTTTGTGGGATTCCCTTGTCCCAAGCCGACCCGCCTTCCCCTGCTTCAATCTTGTGGCGCTTTTCTGCGTGAGATGCATAGTGATAAGAGAGCTACGAGATGGCTGAGGGGTGTTTAACTTCTTATCTTTTGAGTTAGGATGGAAGACTCCTGCGTGATTATAAAGAAAATCCAATTGAGATGGAGGCTATCTACGATTTTCACGAGGGCCTGTATGTGTGTGATTACGTGCAGTCAGATAATCTGAGCTCCTGGACAGTCCGAGCTGTGGTCCGAGTGAAAACCATCGGTAAGTGGGGCTTCTTCTGGACGCTCACTGCTGTGAAAATCACTTTTCCTTGGTTAAGCGCTCATTTCCCTTCAGAGACGAAGAGAGACCTTCACGCTCCGGCGATCGACGAAGGGTTCATATGGCAAACAACAGTGTTTCCATGAGGTGCGGCCCCAAGGAGGCTCATCTCAGGGTCGTATTCATTCTCCCTTCAGCTGGGATTCCAATTCCTTTCTCTCTGGTTTCTTTCTGCAATAAACCTAAGCATGCATTAGATATTTCACACACAAATCTCTAAGTGACATCCATGGTCCTGTTGAAGATGAGTTAATGTTTTGTTTGTTTTTATGTTTACTATCTTAGTCTTTGTTTTTGGGCTTTTTTAGAAAAGAAGCATCACTGCTCCAGCTTGAGGCCTGTGTGCCCCATAGCTTTCCCACAGGCATTCGAAGATCGTAGTTAGATCGGTGCTTCTCGACCTTCCTAATGCTGCAACCCACTGGGGCACAGTTCCTCATGTTATGGTGACCCCAACCATAAAAGTCATCCTTGCTGCTACTTAATAACTGTAATTTTGCTACTGTTAGGAATCACGGCGTAAATACCTGTGTTTTGGGATGGTCTTTGTGACCTCTATGAAAGGGCTTGCGACCCACCAGTTGATAACTGCTGGCCTGGATACTTCACACTTAGGCTTTTGTGCTCTTCCCACGCGTTTGCACACACTGCTAAAACACAATACCGCCTTCCGCATCCTAAACACACACTGTTACACCAAGGTGCTTCTTTCCACTTGGCACCCCTTATTAATGACAAACAAATTTTAAATATCACTAACTAGTTTTGAGGAATATGAGTCTTTCTGATTGACACCAAGTAGTGTTTTTCCCCTTGCAATTTATTCTTCCCTGACTAATGAGGAAAGCAAAGTTTTCATGCCGTATTTGTTGCCTTTTGGATGGAGTCTTTCCTGGCTCCTCTCTTGGGTCATTTTTGCCAGATCGACAAAGAACAGCATAACTAAATGATAGTTGTAAATTATCCAGTCTTGGCTTCTGGGGTCGAAACATAACAGAATTTGTCATCCAGGCTTTCTTCCAAAGAACAACAGAGTAGTCGACTCAGTTTTAGTGAAAACATGAATGAAGTTTACTTCTGGTTTTCTTGCTGCAAGGTTCAGTCCAGTTGTGATGCCCTAAGGTTGGTTGGGGTGTTCCGGCATATTTCGAGGCCCGGGGCCTTTCTCTGGCTTTATTGTGTGAGAGAAATCCCACCCACAGACAGTGCTGCCTCCAGTTTCTCCACAAGGGATGTGTAGATGATCTTTTTCACAGACACCCACGAGTCCCTAAATTCTCAGTGAGACTTTACTTTCCTCTTTCATCTGAGGCCCTGTGTATCTACGCCAGTCATTCCTGTCTTGTCTGTCATGCTTTATCCCTCTCATGTGACAGTTTCTCCCTATCCCCACAGAGCAGGCACCGAGCTTCAGTGTTCACTGTGGGTTAAGGGTTTAGCACATTTTCTGTGACTTCTAGAAAATGACTGTGTCATGGGTCAGGGAGACAGAAATCACCACTCGGTGCGGAAAAAGAAGGAGGAGCAGAGAGCATGTGTAAGATCTGCCAGGCCCCACACTGGCGAAATGAGCAATGGTGGCATTTCACAGGGAAGGGCAGAGTGAGCGGTGCTGTCCACCCTGAGGTCAGGGGCAGAAGCACCGTGGACATGGTGCAGAGGATGGAGGGAAGACCAGAGAACTGGCGGCTGGGGTTGGGCTCTGAGAAAAGGGCCCACTTGTTCCTTTAAGATAGTTTTGAGTTTTTGTTTCAGTCTTCTTTGTTTCTGTGTGGAGAGCTTTGTTTGTTTGCTCATTTGCTTCCTCTCTTGAGAAAATGTCTCCTTGTGTATTCCAGGTTAGCCTACAGTTCATATGTAGCTGAGGCTGGCCTCAAACTTGTAACCTCCTGCCTCAGCCTCCTTAGTGCTAAGACAGATGTGCGCGAGCCACAGGGCCATCGGGGACACTCAGCATTGCAGTGCATGAACAGGCTTGTGTGCAATGCAGGTCACTCTGTCCAACATGAGGAAATGATGTTTTTGAGAGTAAGTTTGGAGGCAGGAAAGACATGGTTAATCCAGGCACTTGCCAGGACAGTCGTGACAATGGGCGTGGACTGAAAGGGATGGATGCTAGAAATACATAGAAGTTTCCAGAAGAATTCAGGGCCTGAAGAGAAGAAGCCAAGGACAAGGGTCAGAGCTCAGTTGCCTTCTGCTGATGCCAGCCAAGGTGGCAGTAGATGAAGTCAGCAAGCTTGATGAACAGTGAAGATATCCAGGAGGCGGAGCGGATAGTCTCCAAGTCTGCAGAACCTGGTGTATTTGGCAAACAAAAGCAGACATTCTCATTTTCTGAGAGGGAAGGGAGCAAATGCTAACGCTCTTTAACAGGCATGAAAAACCAAGAGCAGAAGGACGTCTAAGGAGGGGACCGAATGCTGGTTTGGAAGGATTTCTGTTGTGATGTTGCAGTGAATAGGGGTGTGTTAAGATCAGTGAAGGCTGTGAGAGTGTGAGTACGGCCAAGGGTGAGGAGGGGCCTGAGACTCAGCCCCTGAGGTATTTCCATGTGCAGAGAGAATGGAAGAGAGATCTTCACCAGACCCCCGCTGGCAGGTGGGTGCCAGTGGGAGGGAGGAGTTCATGTGTGCTAGCAGAATATCTTTGGAGACCAAGACTGCCTGCCCAGGGCAGGGTCGGGTGAGGGATGTGGGTACTGACAGCCTGAGGGGGCAGAGGAGGAGGCTGGTGAGAAGTGAGAGTCAGGATTCTGCCAAAAGACACCACTGTGCTTGGCGGGAGAGAGGGTGTCTTCAAGAGAAAGGGAGGGAGGCAGGCGCGTTTGAAACTTTGTGGCAGGAAGATAAAAGGGCAAACTACAGTCAGAGGCTGGCTGCTCCAATGCGTAATTCTAAGCTAAACCAGGGCTGAGGAGCTGCTGGGTGGGGAGTTTTCAGTCTTGGTTCCTTGGGTTGGTTTTTCCTTCTGGCTGGTGACTCAGACAAACGGCAGCAAGACGCAGACACAGCCTGCAACGAGCAGGCCCGGCCTGGAGGACCATTTACCACGGGAAAGATGGGCTCCTGAAGAACGAAGTGTTTACCTAGCATCTGGAGCCTGGTGTCCTGGGCATTTCATAAAAGCTGTGCATGTGTGATGTGCGTGCACGTTCAAGTGGTGTGTGTGTGTGTGTGTGTGTGTGTGTGTGTGTGTGTGTGAATGTGAGTGTGTGTGAGTGTGTGTGTGTGTGAGTGTGTGTGTGTGACTGTGTGTG